TTATCAGGTCACACACATCTAAGGACACTGAACTTGTATTGTAAGCAATGTCCTTTCTGTGTGGACACAGGAAGACAGTTAATATTCTGCTTTGTAACTTGGGAGTTGATTGACTCCGAATAATATTTACTCCTGGGCATCTGCTTCTTGACTCAGTTGTCCTTAGTTCCTAGTACCCCAAAAGCAGGGTCCCGACAAGGGACTGAATGGACCCAGGGCAAGCTGTGAGCTACCCTGGCATCAAGATGGGCCCGGCCAAAGCGCCACGATACTCAACTATAAGTTGAAGGCATGATTATGGACAAATGCTGTCATGGTCCAAAGTAAGTAATGACGAGACTAGGACCCTGTTAGGGCTAGGAAGACTAACCTGGTCTGAGGACTGCGGAATGTATAATGAGATGTTTATATCTCTTACTATGCTCACACAGAATGACATTGCTAGAAATATTAGAAGTAGATTTACTACAACTATTTAAGTAGATTACTAGCTGAGGAAAGAACACACCCTTGTTAGGATCCCACCCTTGAGTGGATCTCCTAGTAATCTGGAGTAATCTCTTTAGATGAGATTTTATCTTTGGGTTAATCTCCTGGAGGAGTGGCTTTACCTCTCATTGTTGATTTGTCAATATTCAATTCACCTTTATGTCACTGCCTTACATGATTGCAATATAAACTAAGACTGTAAGCTTGGAGGGGGTCAGAAGCGAGAGGGCTCGGGCTCCAGAGATCCAGAGTCAGAGCCAGAAGGAGAGAGGTTCCAGATTGGGGCCCAGGAGAGAAAGAGGCAGAGAAAGACAGGAGTGAAGAGGATTGGAATAAACTACTATTGATATTGACCAGCTTGACCCTCATTTCTTCTTCCGTCTGCCTTGGCCAACAGCTGTTCTGATCCAGGCCACATACAGCGGCTCAAGAGCACCGAACGGGGGCAGTGAGACAGTGCAATCCAGTGAGCCCGCGAACACACAACCTTCGGCGTGATAGATTTTACAGCAGGCCAAAAAACATACGTCAATAGAATCAGGAAGATAGAAATAGTATCAACAATCTTTTCTGACCATGATGCGTTGAAGATAGAAGCGAATCACATAAAGACACGGAGAAACAAATCAAACACCTGGAAATTAAACAACTCAATGTTGAACAACGAGTGGGTCAGGAAGGAAGTCAGGGACAAAATCAAAAGATACCTGGAAACAAATGAGAATGAAGACACGAGCTACCAGAACCTAAGGGATGCAACCAAAGCCATGTTAAGAGGAATATTTATAGCTTTGCAAGCATTCCTAAGGAAGAAAGAAAGGGCCTACATAGATAATCTGACCTCACAGCTCAAGATCTAAGGAAAAGGCCAACAAAAGGAACCCAATTTCGGCCTAAGGAAAGAAATAATAAAACTTAGAGCAGAAATTAACGACATGGAAACCCAAAAAACAATCTGAAAGGTCAATGAAACCAAGAGCTGGTTCTTGGAGAAAATAAACAAGATTGATAAACCACTAGAAAACCTCACAAAGAAAGAGAGAGAGAGAGAGAGAGAGAGAGAGAGAGAGAGAGAGAGAACCCTAATAAACCAAATCAGAAATGAAAAAGGGTACATCACAACAGAAACCAATGAAATTCAAAAGATCATCAGAGACTACTTTGAGAATCTGAATCCCACAAAACAAGAGATTCTAGAAGAAATAGATAAATTCCTGGATTCCTATAATCTCCCAAGATTGAACCAAGAAGACTTGGGCTACCTGAATAGACCCATTTGTATCAAGGAAATTGAAACTGTAATCATACATTTTCCCAAAAACAAAAACCCAGGGCCAGACGGATTCACTAGTGAATTCTTCCAAACATTTAAAGAAGACCTGTTCCCAGTTCTCCTCAAGCTTTTCCAGGAAACTGAAAAAACAGGAACTCTCCCAAACAGTTTCTATGAGGCACGTATCTCCCTAATACCAAAAGTATACAAAGATATGATGACCAACAAAGAAAACTACAGGTCAATATCCATGATGAACTTGGATGCGAAGATCCTCAACTAAATATTAGCAAATAGAATCCAACAACTCATCAAAAAGATCATACACCATGACCAAGTGGGATTCATCCCGAGGATGCAAGGATGGTTTAATATTCGGAAATCAATCAACATAATACATCATATCAACAAAAGTAAAGAATAAAACCATGTGCTCATATCAATAGATGCAGAGAAAGCTTTTGACAAGATCAAGCACCTGTTTATTATGAAGACTCTCACCAAAATGGGTTTTGAAGGGACTTTCCTCAAGATAGTCAAAACCATCTACAACAAACCCATGGCAAGCATTATCCTCAATGGGGAAAAACTAAGGACCTTTCCTCTAAGATCAGAGACAAGACAAGGATGCCCACTATCACCACTTCTGTTCAATATAGTACTGGAAGTCATTACAATAGCGATTAGGCAAGAAAAAGACAAGAAAGTCATCCAGATAGGAAAGGAAGAAATCAAGCTCTAACTATTCAAAGATGATATGATACTATATCTTGAGAATCCTAAATCTTCTACCAAGAAACTCCTAGAAACAATAGACTTGGACAGTTAAGTCGCAGGCTATAAAATTAATGCCCAAAAATACATGGCCTTCCTATACCCAAACAATGAGAGGAAAATGACATGAATAAAACAATCCCGTTCACAACTGTGCTACAGAAAATCAAATACCTTGGAATCAGTCTAACTAAAGAGGTAAAGGACCTCTACAATAAAAACTACGAAACGCTACTCCATGAAATAAAAGAGGACATGAGGAAATGGAAACATATCCCCTGCTCATGGATAAGAATTAACATTGTCAAAATGGCAATACTCCCTAAAGCATTATACAGATTCAATGCGATCCCTATAAGGATACCCATGAAATTCTTCAAAGAAATAGATCAAGCACTCCTGAAATTCCTATGTAACAACAAATGCCCACGAATTGCTAAAGCAATTCTTGGGAAAAAGATGTGAGGAGGCATTACCCTCCCCAACCTCAAACTCTACTACAAAGCAGTAATAATTAAAACAGCATGGTACTGGAACAAAGGCAGGACAGCAGATCAATGGAACAGGGTGGAATATACACAACCCCAAATGTATGAACATCTAATCTTTGATAAGGGAGCAAGAAATGTGAAGCAGAGAAAGGAAAGCCTCTTCAACAAATGGTGCTGGCATAACTAGAAAACCACATGCAAAAAAAATGGGCTCAGACCTCGACCTAACACCATGCACAAAAGTCAGATCAAAATGGATTAAAGATCTCAACATAAGCCCAAAATCCATAAGACATTGAAGACAAGGTCGGCAAAACCCTCCACGATATTGAGGCTAACAGTATCTTCAAAGACGACACTCCACTGAACAACCAAGTGGAAATTGAGATAAACAAATGGGACTATCTTAAATTAACAAACTTCTGTACCTCAAAAGATACAGTGACCAGAATACAAAGACAATCTACAGAATGGGAAAAGATATTCACCCAATACCCATCCAATAAGGGGTTGATACCAACAATATACAAAGCACTGGTTGAACTCCACAAGAACAAAACATCCTACCCCATCGAAAAATAGGGTGATGAAATGAACAGAAACTTTCTCAAAAAATAAATCTGAATGGCTAAAAGGCACATGAGAAAATGCTCTACATCATTAATCATCAGGGAGATGCAGATCAAAACAGCAATGAGATATCACCTCACACCACAGAAACTGGCCCACATCCAAAAGAACAAAAGTAACCAGTGTTGGCGTGGATGTGAGGAAAAAGGGACTCTCCTTCACTGCTGGTGGGAATGCCAACTGGTTCAGCCCTTTTGAAAAACAGTATGGACGATTCTCAAAAAATTAGAAATTGAGCTCCCATTTTACCCAGCAATACCACTTCTGGGAATATACTCTGGAGAGGCAAAAAAGTATAGTCAAAATGACACCAGCACTTCTATGTTCACTGCTGCATTGTTCACAGTAGCCAAAATCTGGAAAAAACCCAAGTGCCCAAGAACAGATGACTGGTTAAAGAAACTTTGGTACATCTACACAATAGAGTACTATGCAGCTATTAGAAAAAATTAAGTCATAAAATTTACATACAAGTGGTACTACATGGAAAGTATCATACTAAGTGAAATGAGTCAGAAAGAGAGGGACAGACATAGAAAGATTGCATTCATCTGGGGAATATAAAGTAACAAAATAGGAGTCTAACACCCAAGAACAGCCGAGATAAGTACCAGGAGGTTCACTCCATGGCTCGGAGGCCAGCCACACACGCTAGGGGAAAAGGCAGCTCAGATAGAGAAGGGAGCACAAAGTAAAGGGTGTTGGGAGGATCCTCCCAGGATGGGAGATGCATGCTGAAAATAGACTATAGACCGAACATGACTGCCACTCAATGACTCTTTTGCAAACCACAGCACCCAAAAGGAGAGAGAGAACAAAAGGGAATGCCCTGCAACAGAGGTGTGGTGGGATAAGGGGGTGGGCGGGGGGGATACTGGGATCAGTGTTGGTGGAGAATGGGCACTGGTGGAGGGATGGGTGTTCGATCACTGTATAACTGAAACCCAAGTACAAAAATTTGTAAGTGTACAACTGTACCTCATGGTGTTTCATTAATGAAAATTAAAAAAATAAATAAGAAATAAAATGGTTATGATGACAAACTTGAGATATATTCAAATCTTCCCTCAATTAAAAAAATCTTAATACAGGGCTGGAGCAATAGCACAGCAGGTAGGACGTTTGCCTTGCATGCAGCTGACTTGGGTTCGATTCCCAGCATCCCATATGGTCCCCTGAGCACCTCCAGAGGTAATTCCTGAGTGCAGAGCCAGGAGTGACCCTTGTGCATTGCCTTAATGGAACTTAATCGAACCTTACACTCTGGTGAGGGTGCAAAGAACAAACTATCATATGCCATTTAAAGATGGAAAAAAAACCCATCAGAGTTTTAAGGACATTACTTTTCAGACTGGAGCTCTTCTTTCTTCTTCTTTATGTCTTCTTCTGTTATTCCTCCCAACTGTTTATAGTTGCTCTCTGCAATTTCCAGGAGTTTTCGCAATTCTACAACTTTCTTATAAGCTCTCACTGCAAGACAATTGAATAGGAACACAATTTAAAGAAATAGAAGCTCAGTAGGATGGTCCCGTGGGGCATATTCCTCAAAACCCAGTGTCTGGGTTGTTCAGGTGAGAACACATAAAAGAGTAAATGAATACACATGAAAGAGCAACAGAGTATTAGATGCATGAGCAATGAAATACCTAATATGGGGTATTCTTTTCCATTATAAGTAAATATTAGATGGTTACGTATGTGACAGGAGTACGGGGGTTAAGGTGCTTGCTATGCATGCAGTCAACCCCACTTCTATGCCTGGCAATACATGATCCCTAAATCATCGCTCGGTACAGCCCTGGAAGTCCCCAGCACCACAGGATATTGCAATGAAGACCCCTAAACACCAGGAAGTAATCCTCAATACAAGGCCCAAGCAGCACTTAATCTGGTTGACCAAAAATCACTGGTGCTAAGTTTCCTGGGCACCCTTGAGAGCAACGTTTACCCCACCCCACCTCAGCCCCCCCAAAAAAATCTGGATTGTAATTATAAGTAGTTACCCATGAACAGGGTTTAAAACCTAGAAGTATCTAGGACCAGTAATATAGGATCACCCTGTTGCCCTACCACCGTCCTCAAGGACCCCACCCCCTCACCCCGCAGCCTCCCTCTATGGGAGGTATTTTGCTTCTCGCTCGCTCTCTCCTTTTCCTTTTGTGCATCATGGCGCAATACAGGTGCTAAAAGGTCATGGCGTTCATTCAGGGCATTCGGTATTTTTATCGAGACAGTAAGGCTGTAGCAGCGTTTCAATTGGGTGGCCGCTTTGGGGTGTGGATGTGACTGCCAAGGCTTCTGGAAGTACAGGGAGGCGGAGAAGGGTAGCCCATCCCAACCCCAAGAAAGCCTAGAGATTTCAGTCACAAAACCCACATACCCGAATTTTCAGCAGATTATATCTTGGTGAGGTCCATCCTGAGATGGCAGAGTCAGGCAAGGGGGTATGGTGTAGATTTGGGACTGTGGAAACAAGCAGCTGCCATGGGTTCTGCTTTGTGGGTGGGCACCAGGCCAACCCGCCCCCTCTGATTTACCCTGGTCTATTCAGCCATGCAGGGGTTCGAGATTAATTGCAGCTTTTGTTCTCTTTCAAGATTTATAGGGCTCTGAAAATAAGGCCAATGAATGAGCTTGTATAGCTAAGTCAGAACTGGTTTGTGTTCTTTATTAAAAATGGTTTGTTTGTTTTTTTTCAGAGGGGTGTTTGTTTGCTTGGTTTGTATGCTTTATGGTTTAGGGGCCAGTTTACTTCTGTATGCTGGCAATGCTCAGGAATTACTTCTGGCTTAGAGATCACTCGTAGCAGGACCATATGAGGTGTCAGAAAAGAAACCCCAATCAACCACATAAAATAAGCCTTACCTGCTGCAATATCTTCCTGGCACCCCCAAAAAATTTTAGTCTATACATTAAGTAGAAATAGTATTCCTTAGAAACTATACTTCAGGTACAACTGCTTCTTCCTGAACAGTAGCTGAAAATATTTTTGCAAGATCAAGAGGAAGAAAAATAACATTTATCGAGTGTCACTAAGCTCCGGTACTTCCCATACTCTAGTGAGAGATTGCAAAACTTACTAGGCCTACTGCTGTCTTTCCATTTAAAAAGAGAAAGAAAGAGAAAAATACCCAGAGCTCCCCTGGAAATCTCCCTTAAGTGAACAAAGAGAAAGCTCCCCTGAAATTGTGCCCAAGGCTATACCTACCTGCTCCACCCAAAATGCCCTCCTCCCATGGTATTTTCCACTTTAGGAAAGATTGCTCTAGTATATTAATTTAATTATTATAATAATTCTACAATAGCATTGTGATAATATTCTCATTTTTAAAGAAGGGGAAACTGAGACTCCAAGAGAAACATAACTAGAGAGATGTCTGATCTAATACCTCTGCCCTTAGTTTTTATGTTTCATTCGTCTTCACTAAAACAGATCTTTCTTGGGAGGTAATCAAGGTTACATGAGATTGAGAGTGAGGTCCTTGTCCAAGAGATCAGTATTGTTAGAAGAAATACCAGAAATCTTTCCCATCTTTCCTCAATGTGAGGACACAATGAGAAGGTGGTCACTGCCAAGCCAGAAAGAATCCTACCATAAAAAGACCCTGCTCCGAATTTTGTTCTAGGACTTCTAAACTCTGAAAGTGAGTGAAAAATAATTTCAGCATTGTTTTAATAGTATTTTGTTATGACAATACAAATATACTTTTGGATAAAGTAAGAATCTTCTCTCAGTGGTCCAGAATGTAGCTTTGCCATAGAGCAATGCCTTGCATGTAAGAAGTCTCAATTCCAAAAGTAGTCTCACACACACACACACAATTTACGTTTAGTCAGTAATTATGACATATATATGTATATATGTATATGTATATACATATATCTCCAGAAAGTAGCACTGTAGCACTGTCTTCCTGGTGTTCACTGATTTTCTCAAGTGGGCACCAGTAACGTCTCCATTGTGAGACTTGTTGTTACTGTTTTTGGCATATTGAATACATCACGGGGAGCTTGCCAGGCTTTCCCGTGCGGGCAGAATACTCTCGATAGCTTGCCAGGCTCTCCAAGAGAAGCAGAGGATGAATCGAATCCAGGTCGGCCACGTGCAAGGTATTTAAATGCCCTACCTGCTATGCTATCGCTCTGGCCCTCTCCAAAAAGTACTTAGTACAAAAGAAAAAATTTAAATTTACCTTTATCAAAACACTGTGATTTACAAAGTTAATCACAGTTGTGATTTAGACAATGTTCCAGCAATAATCCCTCTACCTATGTTCCTAGGTTCCCTCCCATACCCCACCCCCACCCAGCCTGCCCTCTTGACAAGCATCTTTTAAGTTCGGTTGTCGAGTTTAGGTCTCATAATTTCAGTGTTGTTTACTCCATGGTTTGGATATTTGGTTCTACCATTTCTAAACACTACTGATGTACCTGAATCCCTTTGGCCCCTGCCCCTATTGCTTCTCATCTGTCTCTTCTCCCCTCCCACCCCCGACGCCATTTTTCCTTTTCCTCCCTATACTTTGGGGCTAGCGATGATCTAGGCATCCCTCCCCTCTCCTCCCTCCCCCCCCCCCCCGATTAAACTACTGCACTCTCTCTCTTTCAGCTATTCTAACTGCCACATGCAAGTGATAACATCCTGTGTTTATACTTTTTCTTCTGGCTTCCTTCATTTAACATATCTTCTAGTTCTATGTACGTTGCTGCAAACTGTATGATTCCCTCATTCCTTACAGCTGCGTAGTATTTCACTGCGTATATATACACCACATCTTCACAATCCACTGATCTGTCCTTTGATATGTAGGTTGCTTTCCAATTTTAGCTACTGTACTGACTGCTCCAATGAATAATGGTGTGCATATGTCCTTTTGAGTGAAAGTTTTTCTGTCCTGGGGATAGACACCCCAAATTGGAATTGCTGGGTTACATGGGAGCTCAACTCTTACTTTACTGAGAATCCTCCATATTGTTTCCCATACTTGGAGAGGACACCAGTCCCATCAGTCGTGGGTGGGAACCCTTTTTCACCACACCCCTGCCAACAGATTGTTCCCAGTATTTTTGATATGTGCCATTCTCAATGGTGTAAGATGGTATTTTATTGTCTTGATTTGAATTTCCTGAGTAATAAGGGATGATAAATATTTTTCATATGCCTGTTGATCATCTGTTGGTCTTTCCCAGGAAAGCATCTGTTCATTTTCTCTCCCCATTTTTATGGGTTTTTTTCTACTTTAAAAAAATTTTTGATTAATGTTGATTAAAAACATAGTGATTTACAAAGTTGTTCATTATACAGCTGTTTCAAGCACTTAGTGCTCCAACACCATATTTAGTGTGAATTTCCCTCCATCAATATCCTCTACATCATTTATAAATATTCCTAAAGCATTTACAGTTTTCCTGGTAGGTCATTAAAATACTGATGAAAATGACAGCAATATTCCAAAATAAGCATTGCAAAGAAGCTTTTGACTTAGATTTAATAAGAGAACTATCTAAATATAAAACCCAATCATGGTTGCTAAGGGCTGGAGCGATAGCACAGCGGTAGAGTGTTCGCCTTACAAGCGGCCAACATGGCCGACCCGAGTTCGATTCCTCCGCCCCTCTCGGAGAGCCTGGCAAGCTACCGAGAGTATTCGATATGCCAAACACAGTAGCAACAAAGTCTCCAATGGAGACGTTACTGGGCCCGCTCGAGCAAATCGACGATCAACGGGAGGGCCTTTACCTTTTTATGGTTGCTAAGATATAATGGTGCATTTCATTTATTAGATGGGATGAAATAGACAAAACAGAGTAACACTATTTTTTAATTGAATCACTGTGAGATAGTTACAAAGCTTTCATGTTTGAGCGTCAGTCATACGATGATCAAACACCCATCCCTCCACCAATGCACACTTTTCACCACCAATGTCCCCAGTATACACCCCCCTTCCCAAGCTCTATGGCAGACAATTTCCCCTATACTCTCTCTCTATTTTTGGGCATTATGGTTTGCAATATAGAAACTGAGAGACTATCACATTTGGTCCTTTATCTACTTTCAGCACACATCTCCCATCCCCAAAGATGCCTCCAACCATCATTGACTTAGTGACCCCTTCTCTATTCCAGCTGCCTTCTCCCCCAGCTCATGAGACAGGCTTCCAACTATGGAGCAATATTCCTGGCCCTTGTGTCTACTGTCAGCCTCATGTTATGCTATTAGGTGCCAGTCTCATATTATGTTATTTTATTTCCCACAAATGAATAGTCATTCTACATCTGTCCCTCTCTTTCTGACTCATTTCACTTAGCATGATACTCTCCATGTCCATCCACCTCTAAGCAAATTTCATGACTTCATCTTTCTTAACAGCTGCATAGTATTCCATTGTGTAGATGTACCAATGTTTCTTTAACCAGTTGTCTATTCTCGGGCACTCGGGTTGTTTCCAAATTCTGGCTACTGTGAA